CCATGTCACTCAGAGGAAGGAAGGAAGGAAGAAAGAAAGCGTTAGTGCCCCAAGCCCTAACCCACTTTCATACTCACACCTGCACTACCCGAGACTGACCAAGCCTGGGTGAGAAGAAGAGGGGGAGGGATGGACAGGAGTTCTTGTCCTGGGCCCAGGTCATCCGGGGTCTGCTGTGATCTCCAAGTTGCTCCAGCTGTCAACAGGGTTTTAAGTCCTTTGGGGGTGTTCCATTTAGGGACCTCTGCTCCTGATGCTCTTTGTACCAATCAAAACCGGCTCTCTGTGGTCTCCTCAACTTTCCCAAAACACACCGGCTAGACTTTGTTGTCCTCTTTGCTGGCCTTTGCCCACTTGTTATGGGCTGGCTCTGCAAGTCTGTTCAGCTGAATCTTTCTTTCTCACATCTGGTCGGTGGATTCTGGGCCCACCTCTTTCTTGGCAGGCAGCCGAGAGTCAGATGTGTGCTGTATGTGGCTTTGAGCTGGCTGGAGTCCGCGTCATATTTTCGGGCCTAGCAGGAGCATGGAGTTAACCCATTCTTTGCTCTCTTCCTTCTTCCCCCCTCTGGCCTCTCTCGACCTGCAAAGGAATCTTCCATTCCACACTCACTCACACCTTTGACCCTTCCCAAAATGTCCTGCGATGCTTGCAACAGGGTTAGCAATATACAATGCTAATCTGCCTTCCCCAGGGGGACCCCTTGAGGGAGGGGGCCATTGGGGTGTGACATCCTCTCCCACAGAGCATACCTTTCTGGGGCAGGGATGCCTGTTATTAGGAAGAGACAGGTCATAGTAATAAGAGGATGCAATTATTAGAAATTTAGATAGCTGGGTTTGTGATGACTGGGAGAACCGCACAGAGAATTGCCTGCCAAGTGCAAAGGTTACAGACTTATGGGTAGCTCTGGGGAGGAGCCAGTGGTCATGGTACATGTAGGTACCATTGACATAGGGAAAGATAAAAAGAAGTCCTGGAGGCCAAATTTAGGCTGTTAGGTAAGAGATTTTAAAATTCAGGACCATCATGGTAGTACTCTCTGAAATGCTTCCAGTTCCAATAGGCAGACCTGCAGCATCTCGAATGAGACAGTGGTGTTGGGAGGAGGGATTTAGGATTATTAAGAACTGGGGAACCTTTTGGGAATGGAGGAACTTATATTGGAGGGATGGGCTCCACCTAAACCAAAACAAAACCAGATTACTGGCATGTAAAATTAAAAAGATCATAGAGGTTTTTAAGCTAAAGGCTGAAGGTAAGCCAACACGTGCAGAGGTGCACACAATTTGGGCAAACCCATCCCTTAGAAGAGGATTTATTAAAGGGGATACTCCATAGACTAGTAAAGAGAAGAGGATAGAAGTTGATAAAGTAGAGGTATGGACTGAAGAAAAACAGTCAAACAAAAAAGAGTGCTATTCAATTACACAACGTGCACAACTAAATAGTGACAAATGTTATAAGTGCTTGTATACAAATGCAAAAAGTCTAAATGCTAAGATGGGTGAACTTGAGTGCCTGGTATTAAATGAGAATATTGATATAATAGGCATCACAGAAACTTGCTGAAATGATGATAATGTGACATGATTATACCAGGGTATAAAATATATAGGAATGATAGAGTAAGTTGTACTGGTGGAAGAGTATCAGAGGGGTAGCCGTGTTAGTCTGTTTCCATGCATTTGAAGAAGTGGGTTTTTTACCCATGAAAACTTATGCCCAAATAAATCTGTTCATCTTTATGGTGCCACCGGACTCCTTGTTGTACTGGTGGAAGAATGGCATTATATGGGAAAAAGCTTAGTCAAATGTGTAAAAATCTTAAATGAATCTAATAGTGCCATGGTATCTCTATAGATAGAAATTCCATGCTTGAATAACAGTAGGAATATACTACTGATCACCTGACCAGGATGGTGACTTTCATTGTTAGATGCTAAGGGAGATTAGAGAGTCTACACAAACAGAAAATTCAATAGTAATGTAAGGGATTTCAACTATCCCCTTATTGACTGGGAACATATCACCTCAGGATGGGAGGCAGAGATAAAATTTCTAGCCACTGTTCATGACTGCTTCTTGGAGCAGCTAGTTCTGGACCCACAAGGGGAGAGGCAGTTCTTGATTTAGTTGTAAGTGGCACACAGGATGTGGTCGAAGAGGTGAATATAGCTGAACCATTCAGTAACAGCAACCATAATGTAATTATATTTAATATCCTTATAGGGAGGAAAACCAAAGAAACCCTGCAGAGTAGCATTGAACTTCAAAAAGGGGAACTACACTTAATGAGGAGGTTAGTTAAATGGAAATTAAAAGCAACAGTCACGAGTGAAATGCCTGCAAGCTGCATGGGAACTTTTTAAAAACATCATAATAGAGGCTCAAAACTATATATGCCCCAAACTTTAAACAAAACAAAACAAAAAAATACCAATAAAATGCTACCATGGCTAAAAAGTGGAGTAAAAGATGGCTAGAAACAAAAAGACCTCTTTTAAAAATTGGAAGCCAGAGCCTAATAAGGAAAATAGAAAGGAGCAAAAATCTGGCAAGTCACGTATTGCCAAAAAAGAATTTGAAGAGCAACGAGCAAAAGACACAAAAACTAACAGCAAAAAATTGTTTAAGTACATGAGCCGTAGGAAGCCTGGGGCACCGCTGGATGATCAAGGAGATGAAGAAAGCTCTCAAGGAGCTAAATGCATCAATCATCATTATAGAGGATGTGAGGGAGATTCCCACACCTGAGCCATTCTTTTTAGGTGACAAATCTCAGGAAATATCCCAGGTTGCGGTGTAAATAAAGGAGGTTTTGGAATAAACTGATGAATTAAACAGTAATAAGTCACCAGGACCAGCTGGTATTCACCCAAGAATTCTGAAAGAACTCAACTATGAAATTTGAGAACTACTAACTTATGTGGAGCTTCTCTTGTAAATCAGCTCCTGTAGCAGGTGACTGGCGGATAGGTAACGGGATGCTGAAATTTAAAAAAGGGCTCCGGAGGCGATCCTGGCAATTCAGGTCAGGAAGCCTAATTTCAGTAACAGGCAAATTGGTTGAAACTATTGTAGAGAACAGAATTCTCAGACACACAGATGAACACGAGTTGTTGGGGAAGGTCAACATGGCTTCTGTAAAGGGAAGCCATGCCTCACCACTCAGAATTTTTGAGGGTGTCAACCAACATGTGAACAAGAGTGATGCAGTGGATATAATGTACTTGGACTTTCAGAAAACCTTTGACAAGGTCTCTGACCACAGGCTTTTAAACAAAGTAGGCAGTCATGGGATAACAGAGAAAAGTCCACGGGACCGGTTAAAAGATAGGAAAAAATGGTGGGAATAAATGGTCAATTTTCACAGTAGAGAGAGGTAAATAGCAGAGTCCCCCAAGGATCTGTACTGGAACCAGTGCTGTTCACTATATTCCTACATGATTTGGAAAAAGGGGTAATCAGTGAGATGACACAGTTTACAGACAATACAAAATTATTCAAGATAATTGAATCTAAAGCAGATTGTGAAGAGTTACAAAAGGGATCTCACAAAACTGGGTGACTGGACAATAGAAAGGCAGATGAAATTCAGTGTTGCTAAATGCAAAGTAATGCACATTGGAAAACATAATCCCAACTGTACATACAAAGTGATGAGATCTGAATTAGCTGTTACCACTCAAGAAAGATCTTCGTGTCATTGTGGATAGTTCTCTGGATACATCTGCTCAATGAGCAACGGCAGTCAAAAAAGCAACAGAATGTTAGGAATCATTAGGAAAGGGATATATAAGACAGAAAATATCATAATGCCACTATATAAATCCATGGTACTCCCACACCTTGAATACTGCATGCAGTTCTGGTCACCCTATCTCAAAAGAGATATTAGAAGTGGAAAAAGTACAGAGAAGGGGGTGGGGGCGGGAAGATGAGGGGTATGGAATACCTTCCATATGAGAAGAGATTAAAAAGATGGGGACTGTTCAGTTTAAAAAAAAGAGACAACTAAGGGTGGGATATCTCAGAAGTCTATAAAAGCATGAATGGTGTGGGGAGGGGGGGGGGAGTTTTATTTACCCCTTCACATAGTACAAGAACCAGTGGTAACCCAATGAAATGAATAAGGCAGCAGGATTAAAACAAACTTCTTCACACAATGCACAGTCAACCCATGGAACTCATTGCCAGGGGATGTTCTGAAGGCCAAAAGTATAACCGGGTTAAAAAAAAAAATTTCATGGAGGATAGGTCCATCAATGGCTATTAGCCAAGATGGTCAGGGATGCAACTCCATGCTTTGGGTGTCCCTAAACTTCTGACTGCCAGAAACTGGGACTGAACAACAGGGGATGGATCACTCAGTAAATTGCCCTGTTCTATTCGTTCTCTCTGAAGCATCTGGCACTGGCCAGACAGGATACTGAGCTAGATGAACCATTGGTCTGACCCTGTATGGCCATTCTTCTGGAAGGCCTCTGTATGTATTGTGGTTGTATTAAGAAATCTACATTAATATTCATGATACACCAGAAGGTGAAGGAAGTTAATTATGACTGGTTTATCCTAACTTTTCAGCTGGCAATTTCTCTAATTTTAGTTAAGGGTTTGGGTTTTTTTTGGTCTTTTCAATATTATCAATGGTACAAATGTTTTCAGTGTTTTATAAGTAACTAAACAATATTGAACATTAAAAAGAAATATGCATAGTAGTATCAGCTAGCAAAGTACTGGTACAGCTTTCTGCTAGAAAACAACATTTCTGAAGATATGCCATAGAGTTCTTAAACCTTCTGGAGTAACAATGTTTTGCCCAGGAATTCCCACAATAACAAAGGTGGCTTTCAGTTCACAAGTGCATTTGCAATATGAAGCCCTTGTGAAGCATGAGGGAGGTGAATGCAGAGAGAGATTGGTTATACTTCAGATCAACAACAACAAAAAACCCAAGCAACAAAGGCTGCCTAAACATTTCTAAATCCACAGCACTACAACAGGATTACAAACAACAAAAAATCAGATTGTAAGATTTATTCATGTTTAAATTAATCAAATGAGCAAACACTGATTTATTTATGTATTAAACACTGTCAATTTATGTATTTTGTCAATCCTGGGAAAACAGGTTTTGGGCTGTCAAGCATCTGCTTAATCTGTTCCTTCAAGGTCCCTTCTGCTGCCTCTGGAATTGTTCAGCATACTGCTAATAGAAATTTCATACTTTCTTCTTTTCCTAGCTTTTGTTAGTTATCTTAAGATTCTTGTAGACTTCAGTTATACAGGAAACTAACAGTGAATGAGCAAAACAAGATTGGATTAAAAGGAGAGAAAATGGTTTAATTTAATCCATCCCATGCTTTCTGATGTTTGTATCTATCACAATGTCCTGTTTTGATAAGTAGTGCGGGAAGAGACAGAATGGTTCAGACTTTGCTTACTCACCACCCTGCTAATTTGATTTCACTTCTCTTATAATATGCATCTTTATTATCTCTAGCTCCACCGGTTTGACTGCATAAAATAAGCAGGCAATTGGGATCCTTTCTACAACCTCTGATACCCCACTACCTGCCCTTTGTGATTCTTCTTTAAAACATTATGCTTGAAACAATCTGATTAGCTTTTTCCTCTCCAATAGGCTAACCCTTTGGATTCCGAAACTTGCTTAGGTTCTCATGTTTTTTATAAAACTCTATATCCCAGAGAAAAGCTGATTGTGTGATATCCCTGTAGGTACAGGTGCTCCAGCAGGACTGCCATGGCCTGCACAAGGATGTCCAGCTTGCCCGGGAGAGGTTACAGAAGGAGGAGGAGAGAACTGCACAGCTGGGGCAGGAGTGTACACAGCTGAAAGCTGACCTGGGTATGATAGCAGGTTCTCAGCTAGGACTGAATATTGCCTTTTTTGTTTCAGTTTTCACCAAACAAGTTAGCAGTGATTGGACGACTAACAGAGTGAACATCATTGTAAATGGGGTAGAATCTGAGGCCAAGATAGGAAAAGAACAAGTTCATAATTACTTTAAACAAGTTAGATATCTTCAAGTCAGCAGGTCCTGATGAAATACATTCTAGAACACTTAAGGAACTGGCTGAAGATATTGCTGAGCCATTAGCGATTATCTTTGAGAACTCGTGGAGGATGGAAGAGATCTCACAGGACTGGAAAAGGGCAAATATAGTATCTATCTATAAAATGGGGGATAAGCACAACTCAGAGAATGATAGACCAGTCAGTTTAACCTCGGTACCCAAAAAGATGATGGAGGAAATAATCAAGCAAGCAATTTGTAAGTATCTAGAAGAAAACAGGGTGATAAGTAACAGTCAACATGGTTTTGTTAAGAACAAATCATGGCACATCAACCTAATATCCTCCTTTGACAACAAGCTGGTGGATGTGGGGAAACAATAGATGCAATATCTCAATATCAGTAAGGCTTTTGATACTGACACGCTTGACCTTCTCATAAACAAACCAGTGATATATAGCCTAGACAAATCTACTAGAAGGTGGGTGCATAACTAGTTGCAAAAACAAAACAGAAAGTAGTTGTCAATGGTTCACAATCAAGCTGGAAGGGCATAGCGAGTGGGGTCCTGCAGGGACCTCTCCCGGGTCCAGTTCTATTCAATATTCTCATAAATGATTTGGATAACGGCACAGAGAGTACACTTATAAAGTTTACGGATGATACCAAGGTTGGAGAGGTTGCAAGCGCTTTGGAGTGCAGAATTAGAATTCAAAATGATCTGGACAAACTGGAGAAACGGTCTTAAATAAATAGGATGAAATTCACTAACACAAATGCAAAGTACTACACTTAGGAAGGAATAGTCAATTGTACAAACACAAAATGGGAAATGACTGCCTCGGAAGGAGTACTGCAGAAAAGGGATCTGGGTGTTAAGTGGATCACAAACTAAATGAGAGTTAACAATGTAATACTGTTGCCAAAAAAAAAAAAGCGAACATCATTCTGGGATGTATTAACAGGAGTGTTTTAAGCAAGACACGAGGAGTAATTCTTCCACTCTACTCAGCACTGATAAGGCCTCATCTGGAGTGCTGCGTCCAGGTCTGGGCACCACACATTAGGAAAGATGTGGACAATCTGGAGAAAGTCCAGAGGAGAGCAACAAAAATGATTAAAAGTCTAGAAAACATGACTTATGAGGAAAGATTTAAAAAAAACTGTTTGGTTAATCTGGGGAAAAAAAGACTCGGGGGGAGGGGGGGGGGGCACGAGAAGTCTTCAAGTATATAAAAGGTTGTTACAAAGAAGAGGGTGAGAAATTGTTCTCCTTAACTACAGTGGATAGGACAAGTAGTACTGGGCTTAACTTGCAGCAAGGGAGATTTAGATTAGACATTAGGAAAAACTTCCTAACTGTAAAGGTAGTTAAGCACTAGAACGAATTACAGAGGAAGGTTGTGGAATCTGTCATTAGAGGCTTTTAAGAACAGGTTAGACAAACACCTGTCAGGGATGGTCTAGATAATACTTAGTCCTGCCTCAGTGCTGGGGACTGGACTAAATGATCTATCAAGGTCCCTTCCAGTCCTACATTTCTATTATTCTGATTTGTTAGCCTTACAACACCTTCCCTACCAGACAGCAGAGACTTGAGTGACTGAGGTCCATCATTTCAAAACTAGTAGGGTTCTACTGATAGGATACAGCTATATTGGCTAATTGGAGGACTGGTTATGAGGTGATGAACTCTTGAAGAGACTTCTCTTGGGTTTTATCTGAAGCTCCTGAACCTTTTCCTAGCTGGAGGAAAGTGGCTGCAGTAATAATAGGGAGAAGGGAATAGAATGATAGCAATTTTCTTAACAGATTTCATCAATGCGAGTCTCTTTCAGAGAAGATTTGAGCTAGTGAGTAATCATGGGACTTAATTCTTGAACTGATATTTGGGTATTATGCTGGTTGCTAATGACTCGGTCTTTTGGAGCTATGGGTAGCCGTGTAAGATAGCACAGCATGGAAAGTTCCCTGACCACTTTTCCTTTAGATAATTTGGGAGATGCTGTGAGAAGCACTGTGATGCAGGGGAGGGATTTAATAGGAACACAACAGCCTCTCAGAACAAAGATGTCAGTGAACGAAAATGTAGTTGATCTGATCAGGAATCCCTGCTTCAGTGAAGTAAGCCGGTGGAATCCCCCCAATTCCAAATAAAAGTTACACACTTGCAGAATGAAAGGACCACTCCTCCTAGGATCTGCTTTTTTCTTTAAAAATAAAACAAAAAATAAAATCCCTGTCCCCCACCCCTGGAAAATCCTCAATATTGCCTAAGCGTTCTTCCTAGGGTTCCTTCCCTCAAGACCTGTCTGTTCCAGATTCTAGTTTCTTCTGCCAGAGAGCCACTCCCGCTTCCTTTATATTCAGGATGAAATTTAATGAGCCATATCTGCCTCGAGACAGCAATAATTAACTTGCAGCTTGCTTAAGGGTTCCAGCACCCACTAGGAGGGTATGAAAACAGGAGAATCTTGGCACCTTGTTATAGTAGGATTGGGTGGGTGGGTGGGAGAGAGCTCTCTTCCTGTACAAACACAGAACAGTTCCATTCCCCCCCCCCCCCTCAAAAAAACTCCATCTCGTTACCCAAAGTGCCAAATTT